GAGCAATGTGCACTACCAAACTCGATAGTTAGAAGTCTATCTGCTCAGTTGGAATAGACTCCCAACAGATTGTGCATGCAGAACATGAATGTGCAAATATAGGGCTCAAACTTAAAGGTGCTGAGTTCTCCTGCAGGGTGCTGAGTTCTCAACTGAAGTTAATGAAGGTTGCTGGCACTCAGCACCCTGCAGAATCAGACTCGAAGAGGCCTTTTGTGAAAACACAGCCCTCATTGGTCTGTATGAATTAGAGAGGAAAAGACAGTGAAGTGCAGTGTTTGTGGGTCAACCTTCCGCTGAAATGCGATAAATGTGCTGCAAGTGTCTTACAGAATTAGCTTCTTAGGCTGAATGACTGTTACATTTCTCAATATCATTTCTGAAGGTCTCTTCATAGACCAGATGGCTGCAAAGTAACAAAACGATTGGCAGGTACACAGAGATAAATGTCATATGTTCCAACCACTGCATTTCAACATATATAGTCTGCATAGCCAACAATACTGCAGAACATAACATGAGAGGACAATGTGTCTGATTTCAGCCAAAGAAATGTGGAATCCAGGAAAATATGACTCTAGCAAAGATACTCGGAGAAAATAAATCAGCTCCTTCTAACAAAATATATGCGCAGGTCCCAATGTCACAAGACAGCCTGCAGTATGTACCATAAATCTTCAATTAGAAACTGCAAGTTCTATCAAATTTAATTGCTTCTCTCTGCAACTTTAAACTGAGCTAGCTTCAAAATGAAGGCAGCTCCTATTTAAAACTACACAGTAAAGGTGAGATTACTAACCGCAGGCATTTACCAACAGAAGGCGGCTCCTAAACAAAGATCTCTGGTATCCGCAGCATGCTGCAGGATTCTTTTTGTAACTTAACCAGTCCTTTTTTACTAGGTCTAGCTGGAGGGGGCCCAGACGGTTATATATATATGAGTCCTCTGACATGTTGTGTAGTGCAGCTTAAATGGTAAAAATAGCATTGGGATGTGCAAACCATTTGTCCCTAGATTACAGTATCCTGCCCACCAGTTCCGATCATTTTGTGCCAAATCTTGATCCCACTGAGATCAATGGCAAACTCCCATGGACTTCAATGGGAGCAGAATTTGGCCCAGGATTAGTTTCCATGCATTTTGGCAGAGATGAATGCACTTTTATAATGAACGATTCAGAAACTTTCCAGAGGAATTCAGTAATAAAGGATTGTCCAGCTGTCAGAAACAAGGCACTTTAGATACTTCATGAAGAGTAAAACCTTCTCTAATAAGACTTGATTTTTTTTTCAGCCTACACTTCATTCATTTGCTAGAGATCCAGGAAACATTTGAATCCATTTAGCACCAAACACTGCAAAAGGCTGAAATGTGGTTAGCATCATGTTGTGAGCAAGGCAAAGACTTAGACAAAATCCACTCCCTCCAGAATATTCCGATCAATATTAGGGGAGTGAGAAGCAGCCACAAACCATCTGGTCTTTGTTAGCTATGTTTTCAGCTTGACGTGCCTGGGGTTAGAAGTCCAAAAGACACCCCGTTATAGTCAAAGAGTTCCACCAAAAAGTCTGGCTAGTGGATGAATGATCCTCAAAAGCTTCCTGATGATGAAGTTCACATGGTGTGCAGTGTTGACAGTGCTGTTGAACTGATATGTTTAAATGCAGTTTATGATGATTTTTCCCCAGTTTAAATGCAATAAAACAATCAGTACAATAAGTACTGTCAATTTCAAAGAGTCCATATAATCATTCATTTCCCCCCCAAAGCTTAGCAACAACAGGTCCTTCTGTAAAGTCTGTGTCTTCTTGTCACTGGACAAGCCTTGTCCTTCAGCCACTACAAAATTATTTGAGTATCAAAAGGGTGGCCGTGTTAGTCTGGATCTGTAAAAAGCGACTAAGAGTCCTGTGGCACCTTATACCCAACAGACGTATTGGAGCATAAGCGTTCATGGGTGAATGCATCCAACGAAGTGGGTATTCACCCACGAAATACATCTGTTAGTCTATAAAGTGCCACAGGACTCTGTCACTTTATACAAAATTATTTGTCCTCCAAATATATCAAATTCTGCCTGCATCAACTATGATTTCCCAAAATACTGTGAGTATATATCCCATAAAAGAGCTGTCTCTCTGGGCACCCTCATCTAAATTCATCGACAGTCTGTCACATCATACCTCTTAGTTTAACAGATCAAATGATAAACTTGTTTCCTCTTTGTGAAGGCGTAACTTCCCCATTCCAAAAACTTGGCCTGGGATGGAACAAAAACCATTTTAGCCTTGAACTTGCATGTCTCTGTGTGCAAAGCTCCTATTGACTTCAATGGGCGTGCCACATGTGAAAGGTTTACAAGTTAGACGCTCTAATAGATTTTAGTCTGTGAAAACAATAAAGTGGCATCACTCCCTTTAGTCCCAAAAGTGTTCCAGGACTAAATTACAGTCAGACATATGCTTTCTCAGTGGTCAGGTGGGAATGCTGAGATTTATGTGGTGTCCTGAGAGAATAAGCAGTTACTTTATCATAGTCATTTGCAGGATTTGTTTTCTTTTGTGCAGTGGGTTGGCTATCTAATGCATCAGGGTATTCTACAAAATGCCTCCTTGAACCTGCAAATCAAGAACGGTATTTGGTCTGTAAACAGAAGGTGACAAACCTTACAAAAGGTATTGTTGCAGTAGCTCTTCCATGGGCAAAGCACATCGTATAAGACAAGTGAATGGCATTGCCACTGAGAGCTGTTCCAGGAAGGTCAGTACGTTTCCCACCGCGGTAGCTTCTTATTTTAAATTTCCTTTCCAGGCTGTATTCTCTGGCTGCTAAGAGGGAGTGTAGTTTTATGGTTAGAGCAGGTGAAGTGAGAGTCAGGAATCACAAGTTCTATTCCAGCTCTGTCCCTGAAGTGCTACGTGACTTGGGTCAATCACATAAGCTCAGTTTCCTGGCTGTAAAATGGAGATAACGCCTACTTGACAGGAGAAGGAGATGCAGGATTTAATTCATTCATATGTGTACTTCTCATTGAGATCCTCAGATGAAAAGTTCACAGTGCTATTTTTTTCTTCGCATAATTACAGTATAGCTTGGCCAGGTGCAATGAGAGACATGAACTTACGGGGTTAATAGAGCTGCGTGGGAAATGGGTTTCCTGTTCCACAAACATTTTTAAGATATTGAAAAAATTTCCCAGCCCAAATCAAGATGAAAAGTCAAAAAGTTTGGAGAAATTAAGATGAAAAAACAAAATAAAATTCAGTTTGGCTCAAATGAAATGTTTTGTTTCAATAATTTTGAAACATTTTGTTTTGTTTCCAACCATTTTTCATTTCAAAAGATAATTTTTGTGCTATAATTATCTTAAATTTTGAAACCCAAAAGTCATTTCAAACCAGAAAACCAGGATTTTTTGTTTCAAAAAAGGTAAAAAATGTTGACCATTTTGAAACATTTTTTTGAGTTGAACAATTCGTGAAAACTGACCCTTCTCTGTGAAGTTTGTTTTAACAGACTGGCATTTTCCAATGAAAAAATGTTTTGTCAGAAAGTTAATACCACTGTTGAAACTAGCCTCTGCAAAGGGGCTGGAGAGGCATTAGGGACGGTGGGTCCAAGGCCTCTCTCCTCATCTACCAGCAGACCTGACTAGGCATGGAAGAGAGTGTACACTGCACCCTCTTTAAAGGTGGCACAGCAACCACATTGCTCAAGTACACAATATTTGCAAGCACTCCCCTTGGCGTTGTGGAGCTCCACATTGATCCCAATGCAGGGCTTGGCTTCAGGCCTTGGCAAATAGGGGCTCTTGAACTGGTCAGGAAATATTTTTCTTTGGTTGCTTTTTTCCCAGTGGACAATTTCAATGAAATTTAAAAAAAAATAGTTCTCATGAAAATCTGCTGTGGAAGATTTTCAGTTTTGTCAAAAACAACACAAAAATGTGGGGGCAGAAAAATGGAAACTTTTCAGTTTTCAATTTTTTGCTGAAAAGTTGAAATTTTCCAGTGAAAGTAGATGCTTTTATAAAAAATATATTTTTTCAACGTAATAACACCCTCCCCTCAATTTTCTATTGAATAACAGGGAGGGGGTTGTTTTGTTTTTTTGAGTAGCCCAAAGAATCTCTCATTCCCTCTAGTTGGTGCTTCTTCTCTTTGAGTAACGTCAGCTTAGTCACACTGCTCACACTGTACATACACAAAAAGAGCACTTTCTTCTCAGTACGCAATGCACTTTGGCTTTGTTGGCAGTCTCAGCACAGAGGTCATGGGCTGCATGAGTCAGGCAGTCTGAACTCCTCTCAACCTAGAGGGGGTCTGACAGGTCAGAGTTGGGGCACAGGGTGAGGAGACTGTTCTGTGGCAAACATGGGCAGCTTATCAGTCAGTCGTCTTTCACAAGCTCTAAATTCTCTTTGAGGAACCCTCCTCCTAATTTTATCCTAACAGTCAGTGACAGCCTTCACAAATTGCCTATGTAGCTGGTTTTATCTCTGACATTGGTCTCCTCAGCTCATCTCTCTTCCCACACACAATAAGCAGCCTGACAGCACAAAGCTAAATCAAGAAAAGAGCCAGAAATGATGCATGCTAGTGGCATCCAAGTGCACAAACAGTAAGAGCCTGAACTATGTCAAGTCATTTCTGTTCGTTTTAGGGATGAGTTTTGATGCCCCAGGAAGATACCTGAGACGACACAGCACTTATGTGCTTTGTTATCTGTCAGAATGAGACTGGAAACTGATGATAGCAAAGGAGGTTGGGAAAAGAGTTTTGTTGACATTGCCAGTAAAAAGAGGTGAATAGAGATTCTCCTGGGTGGCCTTGGTGAAACACAGCACAGCCTGATTCCAAATAAAAGATGATAGCTTGCTTCAGATAAACTGAACAGTAGATATGAACAGAACCCAGATATGTGCTAAGTGAAAACCATTAGCAGAGTCGTCACAAGATATAAGGGGACAGAAGATGTCCCTCAGTTAATACAAACTTCCAGCCAAGTAACATCTGCCAAAATAATTCAAACGAGAAAAAGAACAGGAATTTTCACACTTACCTGAGGACTGGGAGCTGCTGTGATAACCCACACTGTAAGTAGCTTGTGTATTTCACTATGAGCAGCTGTAGAGCTGTGAGGTTTTGGAGACGGTACCTGCTTATTGCTGTACGTGAAGTGAATGGTTCATCGTATGAGTCCACAACCTGGGGGTTTGAAGTCCATGGGGTCACAAACAGGCCCAGAGGAGGTTGCAACTATCCTGTACCTGCTAACTGCTGTATATGAAATGAAGGGCTTACCTTATGAGTCCACAATGTGGACGGTCCAACCCCCACCTTTCGTCTGTTGTAACATGGAGTCATGGTGTGGAAAAGGCAGGGAAACCTTGGTTTGTCACTTGCTCCTACTGTTTAGAACAGGGGTCGGCAACCTTTGGCATGGGACTCGCCAGGGTAAGCACCCTGGCGAGCC